TACACTCTATTTCAATCATATTATATTTAAGCCTTTTGTTATTTTTTTGTCTATTATTTTGATACCATATTGAGTGCAATTGAATCAAAAATATAGCCAATACTTGATTTTGTAATTTGTATGAAAATACATTTATTTATATGAATAAAGCAAATACAATATAATACTGTATTACAGTTACGGTAATACTATTATCTGTAATAGAAGTGGGATTCCGACACCGAATCCGATTCCAAATTTCGGATTGGGATTGGGATTGGGATTGGGATTGGGATTGGGATTGAGGTCCAAAAAAGTGGATCTCATTTGAAATTTCAATTGCAAAGAATGTGAAATAGATATGACTTCCCTCCACAGGGGTGACCACAATGTCCTCCTTTCGACCCCACTCAACACTATTCACTTTCCACCTTGCACATAAATTGCATAAAATGCATTTTTAAAATCATTTTATGTACAGTATAAGTAAATATGATTAGTTCCAGTAGTTTTATTGAATGCAATATTATTTGTAAAAAATACTATTTAAAGGTTGTTTTACAGTTACAGTGACCAAACGTCAAGGTTTCATCTTGATTGTCAAGGAATGATGGTAGCTGTCAAGGTTCAAGGAGGGGTCTATTCCTTGACATTCAAATGCCAGGAATTGCAATATTTTAAAATATACAGTCATTAACAGGAAAATGCTGATATTTTTATTTAGTGCTTAAACTATAATTTCAAATCAAAATTGCAAAACAACTATTTTGTATTACTTGAGTACATATCACTGAAATCAATAGAAAATAGCTATAAAATAATAAGTTTTCCAACAAATTTAAAAATCAATCATTTTAAACAAACCTTTGTTTTTCATTTCACAGTCATACAAAAAAAAAATTAATGTGTTAACAAATTCGATGTGAATAAATAATAGTAATGGCATCAAAAGCGAGTGTATCACAAAATCTTAAGAAGTCTAGATCTAGTCGATGAAAACAATTTTATGTTAATTGGCTAACATATGATAAGTTCATAGCATTGTGTAAATACTGTTCAGTGAAGTACACAATTAAATACAAAAGGATTACTGCTATTAAAAGCCACAAAATCAGGCTAAACATTAATTGAGACAAATGTCAAAACTAGTCAACAATGGATTCACTTTTCTCGAAAACAATGCCATCGGATGACAAGAATGTGATTATTGCAGCGCTATGTCTAACATACCTTTCAATATCACATAAGTTAAGCAATCATTTCGTTTAACGTGTGTTCAGTCATTAGCATCGGATGTGGACCGATAATAGGAGCCGTTTAAGCATCGATTTAATTAATGCCCAAATATGTGTTATGATTTTGATTTAAACTATTTAATTTAATATATTACGTAATCTAATGAAAAAATAATAAAAATTCTAAAATCTTGAGTGAAAATATGCAGTAATTTTCTTAATTAGCAGTGTTTTTGCGATAAAAAAAACTGTCAAGGAATTATCAAGGAATTTTATAAATTTTTAAAGTAAAAAGCAAGGTTTGTTCCAAAAGTATTTGGTCAGTATATTTACAGTACAGTATCAAATAAAGTTCATACTCGTCACAATAGATATAAATTTTAGTAGTTTTATAACTTATAAGTACAGTAATTATCTAAAATTTAATTATTTTGCATCAATATCTCGAATTTATATGATCACTATTTTAATTTATTTAAGTGTATACAGATAAATTATTAATTCAAATTTGAAAATAGTCTGTCCTCCTAACGTCCTCCCCATAACATTACATTTATGGCAAATGTCCTTGGTGCTCACAAATTTCTGTTCTCTGTTTAACTTTCACTCCAATCCTAAAAACAATAATTTCTTGTCTATTGTCAAAAGTGATCAAAAGTCAACGAAAAAAGTATTATAATATAATGTTTGGGAAAACAAATCCAAACTTATGGATGACTCGTGAGTCGAAAGCTTTTTTAAAACAAACAGTTTATTATAAACTTCTATACTTTACTCGTAAGCATTAGGAAAAACTCACAACTCATCCATAAGTCTGGGTTTGCTTTCCCAATACAAATACAGTATTATTTGACTGCATTTTTGATTAAATAACGATTTACTTACTCATTCGTAAAGGATTACTGATCTCTGTTTAAAAATTAATAATATTTCTTATGTAGAGGTTTCGACATTAAATTGTTTAGGTGTGTCCACAAAATATGTACGCACGCCTAGGGGGAGGGGGTCATGCCAAAGACTTATGAAAGCGTATGTTATATTGGGGAGGGGGTTATGGGATAGTGTATGTCCGCTAGGGTGCGGTTAGATCTATGGCCAGAGGTCATCAGAAGTACCAGAAGTAAAACAATTGTCATATATCAATATAATATATACTTCTAATCCATTTCACATGAAATGAAAACTTATCTCACCAGTCAATATTAAATATCCAAATTTTGGAATTTAGATTTTGAATGAACATAAAACCAATTTTCAGAGGTTTTAGACATTAGCAAGGTAAATATTTTTGCAAAGTTGAACAAAAATCTTTAACCTCAATCCAGAGTATTGTAAAAGTAGTATTAAAAGTTAATTAATAATGAACTACAGTATTATCCTATCAAAAGTTTAACTTAACTTCATTATCCTGTTCAGTTTATTATTGTTGCTATTAATTAGAAATTTATTGATGTGAATTGTATGAGTTTAGTTAATTGCAACAGGTACAAAGATGAGCAAATTTTGCCACTTTTTTGGGAGGGGGGAGAGACAGTAATGTTCAGTATTTGCAAGTTGCAACTGGTCAGTGTTTTATTTTGCACCTAACTTATATGATAGTATTATACAGTTACTATTATGATTTGGTATCATTGATACTACAATATACAGTATGATATACAGTATGATAATATTACACAACAGATGACATTATTTCTATAGCAACCAGTGGTACACGAGTTGTCATTTTGATGTGAATTCAGTGAATTGAGTGCTAATTGTGGTTACAATTAGAGATATACTCATAGTTATAGTAATAGTAATACATATGAATACATACTTCACTCCACAGTAGTGTCTGACTGTCAGTGGTTTGTGTTATGATAGTGAGAGTGTGGACAGCATTGACAGCACCGACACATCGGGTCTGTGTGCATGAGTTGATGTGTTGACAGTCGTGGCAGTGGTGGCAGTGGTAGCAGCCATGGAGTCGGGTGTAGGTGTGGACAGTGGGGTGGAGTCGTTGGTGGGGCCGGTGTTGGGGTCGGGTGGGCACCCATTGGCAGACCCTCTGCCTCTCACTGTGACATTGCTGTCGACAACTGTGCCAACAGTGCCATCGCTGCCATCACTCGCACCCAGCGATGGCTGTCTGGACACTAGTGGTGACAACACTTGCAAATTGGACACAAAGTTGTCGGCAATGAGTGCATTGACTGTCAAATTGAATCAAATGAGCAAAAGGTGTGAAGATTTACAGAATGAGAACCAATTGTTGCGAAGAGATGTGAACCGCAAAGAGAAGATAATTAGGGTTTTGGTGCAGAAATTGCGTTCAAATCTCAAGTCAACTGAGAGGACAGTCGACACGATTGAGAAGCAGTTGTTAAGTGACTCTTCACTCGATGCTCACCGAAGACCAGACGACTTGGACTCAGAAGTAGTTGATATTCATTTGACTGGTGTTTGATTTGATGTGAAATACTGTGTATTTATTTTGTAGGCAATACTACCGCAAGACTTCTTGGACTTTGAGATGAACCAGGAGTTGATGTCCGAACCATCGATTGATAGCAACGATTCGCTGAGTTTGGCCGACGATTCCCAACACAACACGAATACTGATGAGGAATATTGTCCACAAAGGAGTGGATACCGAAGACTTACAAAAGACGGTTTGTTCTGCTCACTACTCCATGATTATAGCTATGGCTATGGCTATGGTTATGACTACTGTATTGTTGTACGTATAGGCAAATACCGGTGCAAATGGTTGGGTTGTGGCAAACTATTCTCCCGTAACGCCAATCTCACCCGTCATTACAACACTCACTTGAGAAACAGATCACATGTCTGTCAGTGGACTGGTTGTGGCAAACGCTTCACAGACCAAAGTAGTCTCAAGAGGTATGCTCTTTACATAAACACTAAATGATTGATAAATGTTTGATCATTTGATCCGACTTTGCTTTGTAAGACACCGTCGCAAACATGCCGGCGATAAGCCTTACAAATGCTCGTGGAGTGGTTGTGACGCCCAGTTTGGACAGGTATGTGCCATAATTATAACTATAGGGTAGTGTGAATTGACAGTTGACAGTGTCGTATCTGTATTAGCCCTCAATCCTTGCATATCATCGTAAATCACATACCGGTGAACGCCATAAGAGTGTAAAGCGATCGACAACTACTTGTAATCATAACTCAAACGAGCCGTTTGTATGCGATCTCATTGGATGCGAGAAGACCTTCGATAACGTGACAAACCTTCGCCGCCATCAGGCCATCCATAACGGCACTCGACTCTATTATTGCGATTGGCAGGTATGGCCACTAATACACTATAGAAATAGACATACCGTACAGCCACATGACTACTGTGCCGTATAATGATTAGTGACTAATTGTTTGCAATGTATTGTATATATTCCATGTATTCTACGCTCTATGAAGGGATGCGATAAGAATTTTCTTGAATTAAGTGGTCTTAAAGTGAGTGTCAATAGCAATGAGGACTTAATTTGAATGACAATTGATTTGATTGAATAGCGTCACCGACGTATACATACGGGAGAGCGGCCCTATAAATGTGATTGGCCCGGGTGTGGGGCCCGGTATAGTCAGTCGAGTCACTTAAGCACTCACATCAAGTCACACAAGAATGAGAGAGACTATAAGTGTTCGCTTCCCGACTGTACGTTCGCTGGCGTCCGGATGTCAGACCTACGCAAACACTTGCGACGCAAACACAAGTGGCAACAGTCCGACTTCGATGACCTCGAGGACGCCATCGACACCACTCTCGCACACACTCTCATCCCAGACACCGACCAACTGTCTCCACAACTCTAACACACATTCATACCATTCATACCTTTCAGCTGTATATTCATTGATTGCATTCATTTTACCGTATTATAGAAGTGTAACAGTACTGTAACTGTAATACTATTTTATTATTTATTGTATAATTAATTTATTTGATTTCATTTGAACACACTTACTTGTTACGTTAGTATTAGTTTTATGCGAATCCACATCATTATCAATACTTTAATTTAATTCCGTATTTTAATACATTTTTTTGTAACCCGAATCAATTTATTGATACGAAAGTTACTACTGTATATTGATATTGCACGTAAATTTTACTGTAGTGATTTTACTGTGTTTCTATATTGCTTACATTATTAAAACTATCACAAATGAATTATTTGATTTAATAATTCAAGAAACCTCAAACGTGTTACGTTTAAAATCCATATTACTATAAACTAAAAATGGATGAATCAATTGCATTCACTGTCAATACATGTATTATGGATCCGGATTCTGGAGCCAAAATATTTAAATTGACTGAAGTGTACACTACTGTATGATATCATAAATGTAATGAAGTAATGAACTCAAGTGTTTAGGCCTTTGAGAAGAGTATACCGTTTATTAAAGACATGATTATTGAAATACAAATGATTTAGTGATTTAGTATGGATTGACAAATGATTACAAAGCATATGTGAGAACAACGTTTTGGTATGATATAAGAAATATGAATTTGTTAATTCAAGTTGCTTTTCTTAGTATCCATATCAATATAAAAGTTCATATTTCAAAGCATTTATATATTAATATGGATGAGTGAGAAGCTATTTTAAATATACCAGATTCATATAATTGATATCATATTACAGTAATTTAGACTTTGAATATAATATTGGGAATGCAAAGTGATTACAATGTCATTGAAAGGTAGTTTTCTTCATTTCTTCGTTGGTCTCAATGCCATCGAAAGCAAAGAATAGCCGATGGCTTAAGCAGGGGTTGAGTCGACGGTTGGATTTTGTCGACGATTGATATTATTGAACAGAAGTGCCCCCGAAGTAAAGAATGGATCCAAAACACAGCGAATGAGTCCACTCCACACCTGCAACACAAACACAAACATTAGGTTTACCATCAGAGACAGTGACTAGTCTAGCAATTAGGCCAAACATTAATTGACACTCATTACTGCCAAGTATTTTAACTTTATTACAATATCATACAGCTCACTCTCTCTCTCTCTCTCTCTCTTTCTTTCTTTCTTTCAATTTCTTACTCTATGGATGTAATGAAGAATGATATCAAAGATTCTTAGCAATGGAGTGAAGAACCAAATGGTAGTCAAGTTGATTGTGGCGAAGATAACGGCCCAAAGCAGTGCCAAAGGGATGGCGATTATGGCGGCAATGATTCGATATAACCAGAAGCGGGTGGCGTTGAACAGCAAATAAGTTAATCTCCAGACAAACTCAAAGCCTTTTAATGAATATAAATTGATTGCATATATCATCATATAATTAGAATGCATTAAAGGGAGGCATACCATGGGTGGGGTCGGGCTCTCCAATGACGTCTTCAAAGAGGATCTAAAATGAGATGAAATAATAGTATGAATGGTATGTATAATTGTAAGCATATGAATGGTGGGGACAGACGTTGATGTGGTCGTTGACGTGCTTCTCGTCTCTGTCCAATACATTCAAACCGAAAGTAAAGTTTTGGGCGCAGATATCAAGCGATCGTTTGGCCGACTCTTTCTTCACTTTCTCCTTCTTCTCCTTCTTCTTCTTATCTAATCATTGATATTGAATGACAGCCAATGAGTGACAATGAAAAAGAAAGACATTTCAAGCAATGGTAACCTTTAGAGTCCTTAGTCTTGTTCTTGTCGTCGTTGTTCTCATTCTTGGCCTCCAATTCGATATTCTCGGGAATGTCTGCCTTTCCCTCCTTCTCCTCCAGTAGAGGAACCGATGACTCGTTGAGATTGGTTTTGGAACCGCTTTTACTTCCACTCTTCGTTTCCATCGTTTATCCCAAATGTGATGAACTCTGCCAATAGAATACAGATATAGAGCACCTGTTGTTTAAACACACCTGTAGTTTACATGAAATCCATATTTTCTATTATTATATTATTATATTCACATTAATTATTGACTATAATTCATATGAAATATGTATTCAAAGACGACCCGTAATGACCCATACTTTGAAACGACAAACATTTGGCTGTGTATACAGTCAATGCAAACACACTGATGGCATCAATGTTAGAATATCAAGCTAACAATTGTAAGTATGTCATCAATTGTTCAGAGTTTGCAACATTTCCCAACACTTTCTAATGTAAAAATGTTATTGTTCACTTTTGCTTTCAATTCAAGATTCAATCTAAATTCAAGCTTTCAATGACTCATTTCACTGAATCGCAAATATTAGACACAGAAATCATCCTTAATGAGACCCGAGAAAAGATATCACTTCTATTCAAAATATCAACAGACACAATTATGTTGTCACACATTTATATTATTCACATCCCCAAAATTGTCGCACTAAACAATCTCAAAATTCCTATTCATGTTCATTAACCATGTTTATTAAATTTATTACTAACTTGTAAGTAGAAAATAACTTATAAACTAATTTGTGATGCAAAATTCACCAGTAAAATTATTCTATCAAGTCAATTTGCATATACGAACAGACGTATAACGTTGTATGTTATGTTGTGTTCTAGCAATTATAGGTTAAGATGAAGAATATGGAAAACAAATGTTCAAGTTAAAAGAACAATGTATTTATAATTTTTTTTGATTTTGGATTAGATTGATTATATTGTTTGTATGATTTTTGTTGCATTTTGATTAGACAAAAGATATCAAAATAAATTTAAATAATATATTTTGTATATTACTTCTATAAGAAATTGGAAACGATTCCAAAATATTGATTGGCCCTTGCTAGTTATTTATTTCACTCACAATAATCTATAAAAAAACATATAAACTGTATAATGTAGTAAATTTAGTAATATTAAATCTGTATGTGATCATTTACAATGATAGTTTGATTTAAAATAATTTAATTTATTTGATAAATGATAAAATAAAGAATAATATAATAAAAGTAAAGGGAAAACAATGAATAGTGTCAATAGTGGTAGTGTAATAGTGGAACAGTAGGTTGTCTATGTCATAGACTCTATGATAGCAAATATATTATGAATCATATATTTGGCAGAGAATCCAGTTTGAAGACTCATTACAAACCGGAGCTGCGATTGAGTTGAGGTAAACACAAGAAGATATAACAATGAATGCAATGAAAGCACTCAATACTCTCTACTCTAATGCAATACACTGTCAGGTATTGAGACAGAGAAGCAAAACTGGTTTTAATGAGTCATAGCTTTACTAGAAATACATTTGTTGTCCGAAACGAGTGGTCAATGAGACCACAAAAGACTGTATTCAATGTGTTGCTAATCACTTGTATATCGATATCGCCACTCAAATGACATCAATATGTTTAACACTCAGCCATGGAATGCCGGCAAACATATCAGTATGGGGTCTATGGCTATGGCTATGGCTATGGGGTCTACAAAGGGGATCGGGATGGGGTCACACATTCCTATGCCATCACTGTATGCCAAGTGTAAGACAAGTCCACCGTCTCATTGCTCTCTCAGTTCAATACAACCCTACAGTAGAGCCCAGCAGTCAAACCCTCTAACTCTCCAAACACTCATCCGTTTTGACATTTTTATCTCAAACTCCTATTCCTTAACCGATTGCCAAAAAAACTCTGAAAGTTATCATATATTTAAGTCATTGGCGCTCAGACTTCAACATATTTGTACTTAGTTTTCATCTCTCTCTCTCTCTCTCTCTCTCTCTCTCTCCTCTCACACACACAGATGAAAAACAAAAAATGCAATTACAAAAAATGAGCAATATAAAGAATTAAATAATGATTATAAGAAATATTTGCAATAAATTAAAAGTATATAACATAAAAATATAAATGTATATAAAGTAATTAAAATTAATAGAAATAAGAGAAAGTATCTTAAAAATTAAATGTACAAAGGTGAAATAGAAGTAAATGGACAAATTGTGTAAAAATAAAAGTTAACTTACTTTTGAATCAAAGTTTAAATGAAATAAATATTCAAACGAATGAATGAATTGTGAAACAAAGAGAAGCAACGATTGAATTGTAAGCTTCAGAGCCAACGTATAAATGCTTTAAAGTTTTGCACAAAAATACAAAACAGTGTAACAAGTGATCAGAACTGAGAGCAGGGATACCAAAGCAACCGCACCCTTACATACTGTACAGCATAGCCATAGCCAGACCCACAGACCCATACCATCCCCTACTCTCCTTTACCAACGGATGGGCACCGGACGCCCCACACAACGCATCGACATCTGTTGCCTCAGAAAAAAGTTTTCAAAAGTTAATCAAAAGTTTTGGAAAACAGATTATCGAATAGAATAGTGTTTTAGTGTTACTATTATTCAAAATTTGTTATAATCATCCAAACTTATGTAAGATTACAAATGTGAAACCTAGGTTAGGTTAGGTTAGGTTAGGTTAGGTTAGGTTAGGTTAGGTTAGGTTAGGTTAGGTTAGGTTAGGTTAGGTTAGGTTAGGTTAGGTTTTTTTTCCTTG